CCTTTTTTTTTTTTTTTTTTGTACCAGGGATCAAACTCAGGTCCCTGTGCTTGCGAGGCAGGTGCGGTACCACTGAGCTACATCCCCAGTCCCATTTTCACATCCTTTTGACCCTGCCCTTTGCCTTTGCCAGGTCTTCAGCCACTCAGTCTTTTTAGAATGAGAAAAGTATCTGTTTCACCTCAGTCTGGTACTTTATAACTCTCCCTTCCAGTCCTGAAGCTTCTCTGGTGTTGTTATGTAAAGCAACTATAAGAACACACTGGATACCCCTGCATGAGCAAGACCAGAATCCATCAACCACAATCCATTATCCATGCCTGTGTAGAAAACTTCCCAAAACGCAGGGTGTCAAACAGCTATTTTGTAACTAGGCTCACACAGTCAATGGGTCAGGGGCTAATGCGAGGAATAAGCAGGGACGACTGCTTTCTGTTCCATGGGGCCTCTGCTAAAACACAAGTAGCAAGAAGTGACTAAGACAGCTGCAGGCTGGTGAGAGCCAATAGAAATACAATGAAATTCACATTTATAATTTTTAATTTTCTAGTAGCTACATCTACAAAGTAAAAAGCAGAAGAAATTAATTTAATGATATATTTTATTTAACCCAATATGCCCCATGTCTTACTTTTCTCATTGCTGAGACAAAATACCAGACACCCAAAATTAAAGGAATAAGGTTTATTTAGCTCATGGTTTGTAGAGGTTTTAGTCCATCGTTGACTGGCTCCAAGGCAAGTTGGCATGGCAGATAGGCACTGCAGAGAAGAAACAGTTCATAGTGCACAGAAGGTAGCAAAGCAAGCAAGAGACCTTAGCAGCTTCCTTCTGCCCCTTTTATAGTTTATCTAGGCTAACGGGATTAGGGCAGTACCAAACCAATCAGTGGACTGATGTGGTAATCACACACCATTAATCCCAGCATCACACACTCTAGATTCAGCCACCTCTGAAGAAGAAAGCCCCACCTTTGACTGCATGAGGCTTTGGAGGAACATCTAGACACAAACCATAACATCCCACCTCGGCCCCCCAAAGATTCATGTGCATTCTTTTATGCAAAAGATATGTAGTCTGTCCCTAAGATATGCCAAAGTCCTAACAGTTTTAGCATTGCTAAAAAGTCCAAGTCCCAAGTCTCCTCTGAGATTTAAGGCAAACTCTTAGCTGCGAGCCTCTGTACAAATGAAAAGAAAGTTAAACACTCTCAACACACAATGTGAACATACAAGATAAACATTAACATTCCAAACGGTACAAATAGGGGAACACAAAAGAATGGACCAAAGCAAGTCCAAAATCCAGCAGGGCAAAAACTAAGTCCTGTAGTTTCATGGAAGCATCCCCGGCAATCTGTAGCAAGATGTGAACTCCAAAGGGCTTGGGTGGCTCCGCTCCTACAGCACTGCCAGTGGTTGTAGCTCCCATGGCTTCTCTCAGGGCCAGCTCTGCTCCCTCCTTGCAGTTTTCCTGAGATGACCCAGATTCCTGGCTCCTCCAAACCTCTGGGGTCTCCTCTGAACCTTCGGTTCACACTCACAGTTTCACCCACTGTCCTCTCAGGGCCACACTGCCGGGCCTCCCAGGCCTTCTTCTGAAATCTGGGTGTATTTTCAAACGACCCTCACCCCGAATTTCAGGGAGAGGAGAAGGCCTGGTGACCAACAGTCAGTCAATAATTTAATCAGTTGTGCTTGTCATAAAGCCTCCATAAAATTCCCAAAGGATGGGGTTCAGAGGTTCAGAGGTATCAGGAGAATGGCACATCTGGAGAGGGCATAGATGTCCCATGCTCTTTCCCCAGGCCTTGTCCTGTGCAATGTGCAAATGAAGGGAAATTTCTGATAAAAACAACACTGAAAGAGCTTTTCAAAATGTAGTCAGAAGGCCATCAAGGGAGAAGGACCCATGTATAACTCCGACTGCTGCCTAAGAAAGTGGATGTGAGATACCTTCTGACTACAGGCAGCTACAACTGATAATAACATTATGCCCAGAGACTTACGATTTACACCAGAAGTTGTCAAGCTTTTGCTTTGTGAACTTTAAAAAACCAAATAATATGTTATTTTCTTTATCTTCTATTGGTCACATAGCTCCTATCACATAGTATCTGTTCTCAATTCCAGCAGAAGTTTCCCCACAAAGGAATCTTCACTGCCTTGTAATAAGTCAACACAGCTTACTCAGTGTAGCTTCTCCCTTTCATTTCCTCTTTCAGAACACCAAGTTAGAGCTGTCTGCACCTGCGCTTTCATACTGCGATTCCTAATGCTACTGGACTGAAACCTCGAATAATGTAAAGAAGCTCTCATCCTCAGAGCTCCATCCTGGGGAACTCAATGCACAAAAGACTTGTGTCAAGTCAATTTTCCATCCGTGTGACAAAAGAACTGAGAAAAATTGACTTAAAGGAGGGAGATCTTGGTTCATGCTTTCAGAGGTCTCAGTCCATGCTCGGCTGCCTCTTTGTGTCTGGTCCTGTGGCAAGGCAGAAAACATCATGACAGAAGGGCATGGCACAGCTTCAGTGCTCATCTCAGGGCAACCAGAAAGCAGGAAGAGAAAAAGGCCAGGGACACAATGTACCCTTCAAGGGCACACCCCTAGTGATCTATGGCCTCCAACAAGGCCCCACCTCCTAACGGTTCATCACCTTGCAATTTCAACCTCAACTGGGAATGAAGCCTTCAGAGCCTGATCTTCTGGGAGATATTTAAGATCCAAACCATAATAGAACTTCATTATAGAGTGGGAAATGAGGAACAAGGTACGATGTCTAGATACTGAATGTCACCTTCATCATCTAGAGCATTGTCTTCTTTTAATTTCTGCACTAGAACACTGAAATAGAATTCAACCTCCCGGAGCTAGTTCCTGTAGTTCTTCCAGACCAACAACAGTGCTTTTCTGCATATTAAACCTCCCAATAATTTACACATTTTGTATTGGTTGGTGCACAGGATTGAAAGAACGAGGAGGGACGTTAAACACGTGATGTTGTCTGAAGGTTACCAGATATTCTGTAAATCTAAAGAAAGATTATTTAGCAATAAACATCTTAATCATTTGGGTAGGCTTTCTCTTTAGAATTTAGAATGCTGGACAAAAAGAAGGGGATGCAATTCTTGCACAAGAGTTAGAGAAGGGAAGCAACCTTGCAGAAAGGCAAAGGAAGGGGAAGCAAAAGTAACTCAAAGACAACTCCCAAGGGAGCTAAGAGCTCAAATAAAGTCTTTTGAACTTGTATAACTTTTAAGTTTGGACTGATCAGTAACATCTCTCCATCTGGCTGTTTCTGAGTTGCAATCTTTATTAATACAGTGGTAGGTTGGGCATGATGGTGCAAGCCTATAATCCCAGCAGCTGGGGGATTGAGGCGGGAGGATCACTGCAAGTTCAATGCCAGCCTGGACTATGTTGTGAGTTCGAGACCAGCCGAGACCACACAGTGAGACCCTGTCTCAAAACAAACAACCAAACAAACAAACCCTGGTAATATAATCAGTATGTCACTTTCCTGAATTATATGAGTTGTTCTAGCAAGACATCCCATTTGGAATGAGGGTCATAGAATCTTGAGGTTTGTAGTTAAGTTAGACAGAAGTTGTGGGAACCCCGCCACTTATGACTCAAATCTGAAATGGAGGAAGTCTTGCAGACTAAAGAGCTGTAGGGTCTCCGCTAACCCCAGGTAAAGCGTGTCAGAAGGGAAATACCGAGAGTGACAAAATAGAGAAGAAACTGAGGCTTTTCTTTCAAGGAAGAAGAGTCTGTGTATGTTTTTGAAAGTGGACCCAGAAGTACTCATTAATAGATTAGATGTGGGGTGTGAGACAAAGGGAGGCTTCACACTTATCTCTAGATACTGAGGGAAATCACATGGCCAAGTTCATAAGTTACTGTTCTCTTGATTTATAGGCTGCTAAGAACAAGAAGGTGGTTAGGTCCTGGTGGTGGTTGAGAGGACTCCTCCAATTTAGAGCATGAATGAATCTCCTATAAGGAAGTATCTGTCTTAAAACATTTAATGTCCTTCCCAGTACTCATTATGACAGTTAAGGTGTTCCAAAAGGACCGACCAAGGCATCTTTGCACTCACTTCCTGTTGCATTCTCGGCCCTCTACTTCCTATTGCATTCTCAGCCTTGTTCCCTCTTTTAGAAATAGTGCATTGATGATTATGTAGCCAAAGAACAGCACTGTGCATTCTGCTCTGTGACTTCCTTATCTTCATCCTATAAATACCAAGGTAGGCCAAGAAGTCAGGGAGCAGTGAGCCCAATATTCCTCAGGCCAGCTCTGCCTGCCCACAGTGAGGATGAAGATGTCCATGGCTGCCCTCTCCTTCCTCATCCTTGCTGCTGCCCTTGGATCCCAGGCCAGCATCACACCTGGTAAGTCAAATGAGTCTCCTCACTGGAGGCCAGGACCACAGTAACTCAGTCAGGGGAGGGGATGTAGAGGGGTACCACTGTACCCCACAGTTACTCTCCATCCTAAACATGGTTATGGCACTTAATAGAAAGCAGCAGTGGGGTACAGGCCTGCTTCTGTCTGCACTGCACCCAGATGTGGCACTTACTTGGGGAAATAATTATTTTTCTTTTTATCATCAGAATTACTTGGGTATGTTCCTTTTGCTAACATAAGACTGTTAATTTGACTTTAGTACAATTTTAAATTCTTGAAAAGAAGTATAGAATTCTGTGATGCTAGAACTCTTTTACACAGTCAAGTATAAACCTGTCATTTTGGAAAGGAAGTAGTAGGACCACTCAGGGAAATTGCCCGAAGTCACCTAACCATTCCATTTTTCATTTAACAAATAGCTAGTATTTTTCACTGTTCCAGATGTTTTATAGATATTAATGCATTTATTGCTCCTAACAACACTGTACAGTAGATATATATTAAACAATTTGAATTAGCCACATTTGCCAGGGAAACACCATGGGACATCAGTAATTTTATCGTTTCAAACACTAGCTTCATTTTATAAATGAAAAAATAGGGGCCTAGGAAAGTGAAATAACTTATTTCATAAGTTTCTGTTGCATTAGGAACCAGTAAGTAGTGGAAATAGTTATGGAAAGATAAGACTAGGTTTCTTTTTCCTTTATGCAAGTCTACTCAGATCCTATCAAGCATTTTAAAACATATCCACACGCTTCAGTAAATAGAGCTCATACGTGAGTACAGCCATCCCTTGGTGTCCCTGGAAGAATGGTTTCAGGGCCCTCACGTCTTCTTACAGACATATACACCCTCCCCTGTACTTGAAATAATCTCTAGATTACTTATAATACCTGAAACAATGTTATGCTAGTAAATTATTATGCTATATTGTTAAAAGGATAATGTAATGAATAAAGGTACAAGATTCCAGTGATGAATGTAACTGTACTGTATAACTAAAATGTACCAATAAAGATTCAGTTTAAAAATTTTTTTTAAAAAAGGATAATAAAACAGAGCTTGGTGATCCGTTCCTGTAATCCCAGCACTTTGGCACGCTTAGGCAGGAGGATCACAAGTTTGAATCCAGATTAAGAAACTTAGTAAAATACTGACTCAAAATAAAATATAGAGGGCTGGGGATTTAACTCAGTGGTTCCGCCACCTGCCTCACAAGCACAAGGACCTGAGCTCAATCCCCGGTACCAAAATAAATTCATTAATTTAATTAAATACAGAAAACAGACGGGGAGTATAGCTCAGTGTGAAGGCCCTGGTTTCAATCCCTAGTAATGAAAAAAAAAATGAAGAGTAAAAAGCAGTCTGTACATGTTCAGTACTGATAGAACTTTTATAAAGCACATTTTGAATTCATAGCTGACTAACTGCACAGATGTAGCGCCTGCAGATCTGAGGGGCTCGCTGCACAGAGAAAATGAGCTAAGAACAATGGAAAGCAACTGTTGGACAAAGTTGGTAGCTGGATCTTTACTGCCAAAATCATGCATTTATGTCTTATGTGAAATGTAAATGATAATTTGAAAGCTACCTTTATTCTGTGATGAAGTCAATTGTGGAAATTAAGTTAGAAAATTGGAAAAAAGGAAGAAAGGGACAAAGTGCGAAAGGAAGGAAAAACAGTTCAGTTGCATTTGCCTAATTATCACAGTGTAGCTCTACAATCTTATGCAAAATCTTTGGGGCCATATGAATTTTTGAATGCAGAACTTTGAGGGTTTTCCAGTGACTCCACTTCTGGGAATATGCAGGACAGAATTGAAAACAGGCAGATGGAAAGATTTTATTTAGCATATTCATATCCACAGTAGATTATTCAAACTAAGCAAAAGGTAAAAGTACTCTATGTGTCCATAAATGAGAAAATAGGTAACTAAAATGTAGTAGGCAACCATACAATGAAATATTACTGAACCGTGAAAAGGAAGGAAATTATGACACATGCTGCAATGTAAACATCAAAGTTATATTGCTAAGTGAACTATTCCAGTTATGAAAAAGACAAATACTGTGTGATTCTACTCATAGGCGTCACTTGGAGAACTCAAATTCTTCAAGACAGATAGCAGGTGTCTGGTAGTTGCCAAAGACTGAGAAGACAGAGTGTCTATTCCAGTTATGAAAAAGACAAATACTGTGTGATTCTACTCATAGGCGTCACTTGGAGAACTCAAATTCTTCAAGACAGATAGCAGGTGTCTGGTAGTTGCCAAAGACTGAGAAAAGACAGAGTGGGGAATTAGAGTTTAGCAGGTACAAAATTACAGTTCACAGTGAAAAAAAAAAAGTTGTATGATTGGATGGTGGGTGATAGTTGAACAGAACTTGAATATATTTAAATACTATTAAATTAGGTACTTACAAATGGCTTAAATGACAAATTCTACATTATATGTATGTTGCTACAGTGTTTAGAAGGCTATACATAGCAGGATGTTACTTATCCTTTGTGGAGTCTGGGAGGCTGTATTTTAATGAAATATAGAAATAGTCCTACAACAAGCATACAAATATTTGTACTAAGTGAAATAAATAAAAATAAACTGCAAGTATCCTCACTTCGCTCCTGGGACATTGTATCACCCAACAAGGTGATGAAAAACTTACTGTTGTTCCAGAGTCCTGTGGCATCCAGTGGATTGTATCACGTTCTGTAGATATTTAATTTACCTGTGTTTAGGTTTTCTGTTTGCTTTTATTATTTCAGAGTCAGTTGGAAACTTCCACATCTCAAACCTTTTCAAAAGGTCCCCAAGAAATCCTGGGATACTCATGGGGAAAATGGGCCTAGAGGCAGCCTAGAGCCAGAGACGTAGCGGTGGCTCCCCGTTAGACTCTTCTTGGGGTGAGGTTGAGTGGAGATACAGAGACCATGCAGCCTCCTACTCATTGCTCTGCCCATGCTGTCTGTTTCTTCCAGAGTCAGAGATAAGAGAACATGTGGAGAAGTTGGATCAACTTAAATTTCCACCAGTTCAACACGGTAAATGACCAGACATGACACATATTAAACACAGTAAGTGGTACAGATCTGCACTATCCCTGCACCTACCCTGTTTACAGGACTGGAGGAGAACAAAAGTATCCTGAGGGTGGTACAGTTCTCCGGAGAAGATCCGGAAAGGTCACTAATACCTCCTCCAAACACACCGTCTCTGTTCCCACCTGGCTGACCTGAGAGGCTGCCCATTTGGAGCACAGGGTGCTCTCCGATGCCTGCAGGTGCCTGCAGATGTCTTCCCCTTCTCAGGAAATGCTTCTGCCCTGTTGGGGCCCACGATGGGTGCCCGCAGACACAGAGCTCAACCCTGGTGAGGGTCTGAAGCAAGGAGATGGCAGCAAGTGCTGGCCCAGGAGGAAGTGTCCTTTCTCAGCCCTAGGCCTTCTCCAGCATACCTTCATAGTGCCCGTAGTTCCCACCAGGGAAAAGCTTGGCCTCTCAAGTGGCCCTTTCTCTCCCTGCAGGCTGTCACAATCCTAATGACTGCTGCTTCTCCTACACTTCACGAAGGATCCGGTGTACATTCATTGAAGATTATTTTGAGACAAGTGGGTGCCCCCAGCCAGGTGTCATGTAAGTACCAAACTCACCCACCATGAATTGCAGGGAGACGCCACGGTCTCGGTGGGAGAAAGTGATGATGTTCAGGTGCCCCCAGAAGTCCCACCCATGGGTCCTGCCAGGGTGGGGGGCAGCTTGTGTCCTTAGGAGAAGTCTGCAGGGCATCCGAGATGACACATTTCTGGTGAAGAAGAGGGAAGGAGGGGAAGGAAGGAGAGAGCAGGCAGAAAGCTGCCCGAGGACACCCGTGGGTCACTAGGGAGTCCCGTAGGTAGGCTGAGAGGGTCTCAGAGAGGAGACCGGCCCTGAGCTGCCTTCCGCAGAGAGTGGGAAGAGCAGACTGCGTTGAGTGGGGAAGTTGGGGGGCAGGGAGGGTGGGGCTCCCCGCCACCATTTGCAGAAGACGCTTCAGTTTGTGCTCGTCCTGCTCTTTTTCTCTCCAGCTTCATCACCAAAAGGGGACGACGTGTCTGTGCCAACCCCAGAGATTTAGGAGTTCAGGATTGCATAATAAACATAAACCTGACCTTGCTGCCCAAGGACCTGGAAATACGAAATCTTGCCTAGGAAATGGGACATAAATTACCAGCCATCTGACCTTCAGCTTTCTTGCCCTGGCTAACTTCTGGGAGTTTCTTGGCCTGAATTGTTTTTGTCTTTTTTTTTAACTCTTAGTCTTCTTAAAACAATGCACTAATAAACAATAGCTGTATGGACATTACTGTAGCCAACCGCATGCGTAACGGCCTGGTTTCCCCCAGAATAACTCAATTGTTTTTTCTGCACAGTTTTTCAGCAAACTATAAATGGATAAAGGGAGCTCCAGCAGTGTAGCAGGATAGCACACGGTGCTCTTATAAATAGATAAAGCCATTACAGTGATACGTGGTGCTTTATAACCAGACCCTGCCTCCAGAAATGTTCCTGATTCTTTGACGTTAGCTTAAGAAAAACCAGAGATAGGACAGCTTGAATGAATTCACTTCTGTCCTAACCCATTTATATGCACCCACTTTCTGTCACAAATTGCAGGGATCCAACCGGTCTTTTTACCACCTAGAACTAAATTTCCAATTCCCCAATAAACTGCACTCTCTGCAATCCTAGATCTGTCTGCCTCAGTTTCTCTCATCTTACAGCCCCCAGGGGCAAGTCCTTATTATACATTAGGTCTGGGTTGGTTTGGAGCAGTACCTAATTTACTGTTCTTGAAGTTTAAGAGGAGAAAGAAATGAGGGTATTGCTCAAATTTGGATAAGTATTGTCTTCAAAACAAAATATGTGTGTGTGTGTGTGTGTGTGTGTGTGTGTGTGTGTGTGCGTGTGTCTGTGTTATTCATGTTGAACCCGGGCCTCTGCACTGAAGCATATCCCAGACCTTTTTTATTTTGTATTTTGAGACAATGTCTCCCTAAGTCACTAAACTGTTCAAGCTAAGCTCAAACTTGCAATCCTCCTACCTCTGCTTCCCAGGGTGCTGGTGTTACAGGTAGGCACCACCATGCCCAGCTGCAAAATTTTCCTACACTATTTTTTGGCTACCAGGGATCAAACTCAGTACCTCGAGCTTACGAGGCAGGAGCATTGCCACTGAGCTAAATCCCCAGCTGCAAAATTTTTAAATAGCTAAAGCATGACTCTTTTAAATATATGTCAAAGATATAGTTAACCCATTAGTGAGGGAACCATTAAACTTATTCAAAGATCATTGGAAGAACAGAGATTTATAGAGTTTATTGCAGATGACATTCTGGAATAAGTTTGCTAAATTAGAGCACAGATCAGTATGATGTCTACAGAGTAATAATGAAACTGTAACTTTTCGGATTATCTTCCAATAAATAGAAATCTTTTGCATTTGTGTTAGGCAAAGATTTCCAAGTTAACATATAATTTCAAAAAATCTAGGGCCTGATCAATAGTAATAGAACATCAGTCAAAAGCACATTCCCCCATAGATGGAGGGAACCCTGGCATGGAACTAGAAAGGCAAGCAGTCATCCCTTTGCCTATTTCTAAGTTTTAGATGTTTTTCTTAATAGACACATGGTCCAAAAAGATTTTTCATCCAAAGTTAAAGGATATTAAGGGAAACATTTAAAAATGGAGTTGATATCAACCTTATGTACACCTGTATTGAAACAAATAAGTTTATATTTATAAGTAGTACATCTTGATTAATTATCTCATAAAATCCAAAAGATTGCATCAAATTCTAAACAACATAATTATTTTACTTGAAAAAAAAGTTTTAAACCTAGGCCTACTTTCAGTGTGATTTGCCTAAGAAATCAATGAGCAAAATATTTATAACCTTTGTAACAATAAGTCACTATTAGAAAAAAAAAGAAGTCCTGAGATAATGACAAAAGCTGGAATTATTGTAACCTCAAGGAGATTAAACACAATTTCATATTATCTTATCTTCTCTCTACTAAAACAGTCTTTAAAGTTTTGATGACAGTTTGGAAAAAAGTGTCTTTTACCACATTTGCAAAAGTGACACATTTTTATTTGCTTATGTCTTTTTTCAGTACTGGGGACTGAACCCAGGGCCTCTGCACTGAGCTACATCCCTAGCCCTCTTTATTTTTTATTTTTGAGACAATCTTGCTAAATCATTAAGTTGCCCAGGCTGGGCTTGAACTTGTGATCCTCCTGCCTCAGCTTCCCAGAGTGCTGGGATCAGAGGCAACATTTGCCTAATGTTTGAGCCATGATAATCTCATGTAGATTCTTCTCTCCAAAATTTTTAAGTGACTTTTTCCTTATTAATTAACCAAAAGAAAATTACTTGTCATCATTTCATTACCATCATTCTGCATTTGTTCTTGGAAACTCACACCACTTGTTTACGGTCTCTACACTCTCCTTGCATGTGCACATTTGGGTATTTGTTAAGAGGGCCAGGGATTTAGCTCAGTGGTGGTGCCACCGAGTTCAATCCCTGGTACAAAAAAAAAAACAAAAAACGGTATTTGTTAAGAAGACAGATCTCATGTTATGTGTTCTATTAGCGATACATACATTCTTACATACATACATAAACCTTGTTATATAGGGAGAGGACATTAATAAGCATTTAAAATAGAATATTACCTGGGGCTACAATAGATTTGAGCACCAGGTGCTTGGAAGCACTTACAAGAGACACCTGGCCCAGCCTAGGGGTAGCAAGAGCCAAGAAGTCCCCCTGGCAGAGGTGACTGCTGAACAGAGTTGGGTCAGGAGGAATTAGTACAAACACAGGGCAAATTTATCCATCACATATAAATATTGACATCCTGAAAGATATGTACTCAATCCAAAAGAAAAAAAAAGAAAAGTCTAAATTTATTAATGCATATTTAACTGTTACACTTAATGTGCATTAAAATACCATTACATAGGAAAGTAGAGGAACTGTGCGTGCCAGGAGAACCTGATTCTGATGAACCTTCTACCCACAGATGAAAACTTCGGAGTCGTTGAGAAGTCACTGGAAGATTCACGTGAATCAAGCTTACGTGTTAGAGCATTTCCTCTGGTGGTCGTGCTGCATTATAAGATTTCCAGACTTTTGAAAGTCCAGGATGGAATGTTTAGGCCTTGAAGTCATTACAAACTAGAAGATCTTGGGCTTCTAATCTTGAGGGACCCCCACTGTCCATTAAAATGACCAGCTTGGTAGGCTTTTACTTTTCCATTCCTTTGCGGTTGGGACTCCAGGACTAGAAATGGAGACAGGCACAAGATAGTGCCCACCAAGCCCAGCTCTGAGCTGGGATGTCTGAGAGTCCCCCAGCCCACCCTGCAGTCAGATTTACAGGATCACATGAATCTCCTAGAGGGAGAATCCTAGAAATATTTATTCTCTTTCCCTGTATCCCTGAAAGAATTGGGAAAGCCCCCAAATCACTTTTGCCCTCTACTTCCTGATATATTCTCAGCGGTGTTCCCTCTTTTAGAAATAGCATGTTGATTACTATATATAGACAAAGAACAAACGGCTTCTTGACCTCTGCTCTGGTACTTCCTGATCCACCTCTTATAAATGCCACAGCAGGCCAAGCAGTCCGGGAGCTGTGAACCCAGGAGTCTCAGGCCAGCTCTGCTTGCTCACCACAAGGATGAAGATCTCCAAAGCTGCCCTCTCCTTCCTCATCCTCGCTGCTGCCCTTGGGTCCCAGGCCCAAAACGCACTCGGTGAGTCTTCTCACTGGTAGCCAGGGTCACAGAAACTCACAGTCTGGGGGAGACACACAGGGCCACCACTGCACCCTACAACTATTCTCCATCCCAGACATGGGTATAGAGCTCACTTGAGAGCAACAGCAAGGTACATACCAGCCTCAGTTGCCTCAGTTGTTCCCTGAGAAAAACTATACACTGATGACTGGTCCCCTCTGGAGAAAAAACCCCCCCCACCACAACGTTTTTTTTTTTTTTGTACCAGGGATTGAACTCAGGATCTTGCACTTGCGAGGTAGGTGACTGAACCACTGAGCTAAATCCCCAGCCCCAATAGTCCCCGTTTTCATAGCCAGAATTATTTGATACCTTATCCTAGCTGACAGTTTAGCTTGATCAAAAAACACCAGGTGTGGCGGTACATGCCTGTAACCCTAACACTCTAGGAGGCTGAGGCACAATCACAGCAAATTAGAACCCAGCCTAGGCAATTTAGCAACCTGGCAAGCTCTGTCTCAACATAAAAGTTTTTTTTTTTTTAAGGGGAGTCTGGTAGACATGTAGTTCAGTGCAAAGGCCCTGGCTTCAATCCCCACTACCCAAATCAAAAATTTTTGTAAGTTTACAGAAATAAGTATCAAGTTCTATGATGCTAGAACTTCTGTGTATCATCTAGTATAAAACTGTAATTTGGAAAGAAAGTGAGACCAGCCAGGCAAGTAACTCACCCCAGGTCACAGTCCCACTTGAACACTTGGAATTTTAATTTACGGGGGTGACTAAGTCTCAATTCTGAGAGACCAATGACATGGGAAAAAAAAACTTACAGGGCCACCGGAAGCATTAGGTTTGGGTCAGCAGGCACAAACAAGAGGGAAAGTTTATGTGAGAGCCTTCCTTTGTGTTTCTGAGAGTCAGGGCAAAGCACGGTATACAGGTTAGGAGGGGTTAGTGTGATTATGTCCAGCAGGCTTGAGGTCAGGGGTTGTCTCAAGCTGTCTGATACCTGGCTTTAAGATGCTTTGGAGCAGGAAAAGCATTGGGATGGTGCTTGAGGGTTAGATAAAGGGGTGGATGGGCGCAAGTGCTGGGCAGAAGTTGGTTTGAACCCTTTGCTAACTCTAAGAACTGGCTAATCCTGGGAGAGGCAGTGTCTCCCCAGCTGTCAAGCTTTTTAAGATGTCAAAACATCATAAGGTACAGAAAAAAATTTAAAATATTTCTGATAGTCATTTAACCATTCTAATTTTTTTACTTAAGAAATATATTATCACGTACAGGTGCAAATTGCCTATGATGAGTGTTATCATTATGCATATCTAAAATGTGACAGGGCCGGGAATTTAGCTCAAGGGCACCATGCCTGACTTTCAAGTGCAAGGTCCTGAGTTTGATCCCCGATACTGGAAAAATAAAAAATAAGTAAAATGTACCAATAAATGTTTTGCTTAAACACAGAAATAAATACATTATCTAATACTTGGTGGTTACATAACCACTTTTGTTTTTTACTTAAATAATTATCTAATAGTTTCTGTGTGCCAAGCAGCCACTATTACAAGTGTTTTATAGATATTAATATATGTTTTTTTTTTCTCTCTCTCTCTCTTTTCGGTGCTGAGGATCGAACTGGGGCCCTCGCATTTGCAAGGCAGGCAACAGAATCACTGAGCCAAATCCCCGGCCCAATATTAATATTGTTGATTCCGCAACTTCTCAAGGTAAATACTGGGCTGAACAAATGTAAATCTACCATTCTTTGGAGGGATGGCAGAGTTGAAGGGAGGGCTGGATAATGGGGAAGAAATAAGAACCAAGATACATCAAGTCTATTCACAACATATCAGAAACATTAGGTACCCATGTGCCTTAATAAATACAGCTCATGCGAAACTATTTAAGAAGCTAAATTGGGTATGGTGGTACTTGCCTGTAATCCCCAGCCCTCGGAGGCTGAGGCAAGAGGGCTGCTGAGAGCTCAAGGTGAGCCTGGGCTACATAATGAGTTCAAGGGTAGCCTGCACACTACAAAGCAAGACCTTGTCCAAAAAAACAAAACAAAACAAAAAACCTAAAATGTTTAGTTGTGTTCGACTAAGTAACATAGTACAGGTCCACAATCTTTCACTTCAAGGGACATGTTGCCATCAAATGAGTTGATGGAAAACTTGCTGTTTCCACAGTCCTGTAAGTTGCAGAGATGTTTAACTTAGATATTTAACTTAGCTACGTTAGATTTGTAGCTTTTAGTGCTGAAGACTTAGTCTAATGCTTTCATATATCAAGTATTTTCAAAAAGTCACTATCAGTTGGTTTTCTGTTGCTGAGACAAAAAAAAAGCTGATATATACAACTTAAAGGAGAGAAGGTTTATTTGGGCTCATGATTTTACCCCTTGGTCAGCTGGTTCCAAGATAGAAACACTGAGGTAGAAGGGCATGGTAGAGGAAAGTTCACCTCCTGGCAGTCAGGAAACAGAGGAAAGGAACCAGAAAAAGAGAAAGGAGCTGGGGATAGGATACGCCCTTCAAAAGCAGGCTCCCGGCGGCCTATCTCCTCCAACTGGGCCCACCTCCTGATAGCTTGTTCAGCTCTGAAGTCATCAACTGATTGATGGGGTCAATGCCAGTATGATCCCAGCACCTCTCTAAGCCCAACCTCCAACATTTCTGCATCGGAGTCAAGCCCTCAATATATGAATCTCTGGGGGAATGTTCATAGTTAAATCACAACAGCTCCTGAAAAATGCTAGGGTACTAATGGAAGAGGCCTTAGCTGCCGACATGGGACATGGTTCGGCATCAGAGTCTGTGCCTTAGGATGAGGTGAGGAATAAGGTGAGTGGAGATACTGAGACAAAATGCCTCCTAGAAATTTCTCTCCCTGCCATTTCCTCCAGATATAAAGATTAAAAATGAACCATGGAATAAAGCGATTCTACATCCACCTGGACAATTTGTGAAAGGTAATATTCCATTACAGCATATATTTAAATGAAGCCTGGGGGCAGTTCAGCTTATGGCTTCATCTACCTGTTTACAGGACTGGAGGAGAACAAAAGTATCCTGAGGGTGGTACAGTTCTCCGGAGAAGATCCGGAAAGGTCACTAATACCTCCTCCAAACACACCGTCTCTGTTCCCACCTGGCTGACCTGAGGGGCTGCCCATTTGGAGCACAGGGTGCTCTCTGATGCCTGCAGGTGCCTGCAGATGTCTTCCCCTTCTCAGGAAATGCTTCTGCCCTGTTGGGGCCCACGATGGGTGCCCGCAGACACAGAGCTCAACCCTGGTGAGGGTCTGAAGCAAGGAGATGGCAGCAAGTGCTGGCCCAGGAGGAAGTGTCCTTTCTCAGCCCTAGGCCTTCTCCAGCATACCTTCATAGTGCCCGTAGTTCCCACCAGGGAAAAGCTTGGCCTCTCAAGTGGCCCTTTCTCTCCCTGCAGGCTGTCACAATCCTAATGACTGCTGCTTCTCCTACACTTCACGAAGGATCCGGTGTACATTCATTGAAGATTATTTTGAGACAAGTGGGTGCCCCCAGCCAGGTGTCATGTAAGTACCAAACTCACCCACCATGAATTGCAGGGAGACGCCACGGTCTCGGTGGGAGAAAGTGATGATGTTCAGGTGCCCCCAGAAGTCCCACCCATGGGTCCTGCCAGGGTGGGGGGCAGCTTGTGTCCTTAGGAGAAGTCTGCAGGGCATCCGAGATGACACATTTCTGGTGAAGAAGAGGGAAGGAGGGGAAGGAAGGAGAGAGCAGGCAGAAAGCTGCCCGAGGACACCCGTGGGTCACTAGGGAGTCCCGTAGGTAGGCTGAGAGGGTCTCAGAGAGGAGACCGGCCCTGAGCTGCCTTCCGCAGAGAGTAGGAAGAGCAGACTGCGTTGAGTGGGGAAGTTGGGGGGCAGGGAGGGTGGGGCTCCCCGCCACCATTTGCAGAAGACGCTTCAGCTTGTGCTCATCCTGCTCTTTTTCTCTCCAGCTTCATCACCAAAGGGCGACAACGTGTCTGTGCCGACCCCAGAGATTCATTAGTTCAGCAGTGCATAAAAGAACTGACTACCGTCAAACCAAGACGTAGGAAACTTGCTTGGGGAAATGGGACATAAGTTGCCAGCTACTTCACCTTTAATTCTCTTGCCTCTTCACCTCCTATGAGCTTCCTGGCTTGAAGTGGCTTTGTTTGTTTGTTGTTTGTTTCAGTTTTTAATGATGCTTTGGTTATAAAAGTAAGGCATCTAATAAAGAGTATTCAATTGAACTTTTCTTGGGTTTTAAAAGGAAATAAGCCAAAATATAACTGAAGGAATTGCTGAATCCCAAAGAGATTAAACACAAATTTCACCTCTTTTTAGAGAGTCAATCCTTGCAGGCTTAGTTACAACTTCAGAAAATATTTTGTCTCCCATTACTTTTCAGATTACATTCTGTTTTGATTTGTTTAATATTGCAACCATGATAATTTCTTGTAGATTCCTATTTTTCCCGTATTTATTTCTATTCGCTGAGGGAGGAGTCCTGCTTTTTGTTACTGTGTATTTGCACTTGCACATTCATACCATTTGTTTCATGCTACATAATTACTTCATTCTAGGGAACATTCTTCAAGGTCTATTCCAACTCCGGGAAATGATTCCAGACCTGCAAAACAACAGTTATATTGGGATTTCTTTTCATCGCTTACTTCAATTCATTCAACCTTCCTTGGGTTCATTTTCATCTGGCTCGAATATCCTAGGTCTGTCTGCTACGATAAAGATGACAAAGGCAAACTCTCTCTTGTCCTGTGGTACCCAGGGCAGTCACGTATGACTCGCTTTGGCCATTCTGCTGCTCCCTTCCAGGGAAAGCTCTGGGCCTGCTGCAAGTGCTGCAGGGGAGAAGGGAAGGGAAGGGGAGGGAGAGAGAGAGATCCATCCAGATGTCTCCAGTCTGGAAACAATGGTGCTTTCACATATGGAACCATGAGCAGTGTAAGAGTTCAGCCAGCCCTGCTAATTCAGTGCCCAGCACAGAAGGCAGCACCCTTACCAGCTGGCTTCTAAGGCATGATTTGGCTATGGCATTGGAGCTAGTCTGTGTCAGTTTCTACCTATTTTCCAAGCTTTCTGACAACTCTGTGCACTACCCCAAATCTTTGCAGTAAGTTTCTGTTTCTTTAAATCAATCACAGTCAATTTCTACAGGTTTGCTACAAAGAACCCTAACTGACATGAATAATAAACTTTCTGAAAAAATTTTCCCCATTGAGTTTATTGGTACGTTTTAGGTATACAGTACAGTTACATTCATCATTGGGATCTTATGCCTTTACATGACAGGTCTTGGTTCTCGTTTTTTTCCCCTTATCCCTGCCCTCCCTTCACCCCCTCCTCCTTTCCCTATTTACAAATATTTTATTTCCATTTTTTCATTTGCTCATTTTTTTTCTTTTCCCTTATTTCCTTCTGAAATTTTGAATGTTAAAAAACATTTGTCTTTAAATTTGAATAACAGGTCACCTGTACATGAAAAGTCTATATTTAAAATCATCTTCTTAGCTGACAGTGGTAATGCATGCTTATAATCCCAGCACTCTGGAAGGCTGAGGCAAGAAGATTGCAATTTTGAGACCAGCCTGGAGAATTTGGCAACTTAGAGAAATCTCCCTCTCAAAATAAAAACTAAAACAAGGTTGGGGAAGTAGCTCAGGGCAAAGGCCTTGGGTTCAATCCCAGTACCACAAAAAGTAAAATAAAATTAAAGAAATAAATATGGTCTTTCAGAACCCTGTAGACATTTCTCATTTGCCTTCTACCATCTCGCACAATGCCAAATTTCCAAAGTCAGTTGGTTTCTTATTCCTCTACAAATACATTTTTAGATCTTCTGGGAATTTTTTGAATATTCTTTTCATCCTTGGATTTTTAACATTTTATCAAAATGTACCTTGTATCCTTTTTTCATTGGCCCCTGCTTTGCCCCAAAGATTGGAAACAATGGTGCTTTCACATATGGAACCATGAGCAGTGTAAGAGTTCAGCCAGCCCTGCTAATTCAGTGCCCAGCACAGAAGGCAGCACCCTTACCAGCTGGCTTCTAAGGCATGATTTGGCTATGGCATTGGAGCTAGTCTGTGTCAGTTTCTACCTATTTTCCAAGCTTTCTGACAACTCTGTGCACTACCCCAAATCTTTGCAGTAAGTTTCTGTTTCTTTAAATCAATCACAGTCAATTTCTACAGGTTTGCTACAAAGAACCCTAACTGACATGAATAATAAACTTTCTGAAAAAATTTTCCCCATTGAGTTTATTGGTACGTTTTAGGTATACAGTACAGTTACATTCATCATTGGGATCTTATGCCTTTACATGACAGGTCTTGGTTCTCGTTTTTTTCCCCTTATCCCTGCCCTCCCTTCACCCCCTCCTCCTTTCCCTATTTACAAATATTTTATTTCCATTTTTTCATTTGCTCATTTTTTTTCTTTTCCCTTATTTCCTTCTGAAATTTTGAATGTTAAAAAACATTTGTCTTTAAATTTGAATAACAGGTCACCTGTACATGAAAAGTCTATATTTAAAATCATCTTCTTAGCTGACAGTGGTAATGCATGCTTATAATCCCAGCACTCTGGAAGGCTGAGGCAAGAAGATTGCAATTTTGAGACCAGCCTGGAGAATTTGGCAACTTAGAGAAATCTCCCTCTCAAAATAAAAACTAAAACAAGGTTGGGGAAGTAGCTCAGGGCAAAGGCCTTGGGTTCAATCCCAGTACCACAAAAAGTAAAATAAAATTAAAGAAATAAATATGGTCTTTCAGAACCCTGTAGACATTTCTCATTTGCCTTCTACCATCTCGCACAATGCCAAATTTCCAAAGTCAGTTGGTTTCTTATTCCTCTACAAATACATTTTTAGATCTTCTGGGAATTTTTTGAATATTCTTTTCATCCTTGGATTTTTAACATTTTATCAAAATGTACCTTGTATCCTTTTTTCATTGGCCCCTGCTTTGCCCCAAAGATAGTCATATTTTTTTTCTTTTCTTTTTTCTTTTCTTTTGGTACAGGGGATCGAACTCGGGTCCTTGAGCTTGCAAGGCAGGTAGAGCAACCACTGAGCTAAATCTCTGGCCTGATACAGTCATATTTTAACTCAATTTTTTTTCCTTGTATTTCTTCATTTTCTCCCATCCATTCATATTGCTGGTGATTTCTGGAACAACTGGTAAATACTGGGTTTCATGCATCTACTCTTTATGAGTCTACTATAAAGACTATGAGTCTGATAAAGAGAGACTCATAAAGAGAATATATTGTCTCTCATTTTATGCTTTTCGTCATGTATGATAGCTTCTTTTGTATTTAGTCAATATCCCATTTTTAATTATCAAGGATTATTCACTGAGCTCAGATTACTCCTTTTTCACAGTAACTCATTATTGTTTTGTAGATGCAATTATTTTCTTAAATCTTTCTGAGAATAAAATTGTAGGAGTTTTTTTTTCTTTTCTTTTCTGCTTTCTTCTCTTTCTTTTGGAGTATTTCTACTCATCTTGGTCCTTTTTCTCTCCCATGCCACTAGTAATTCTTAATGCCTGGTTATTATTGATCATCTGCTTATATTTATAGATGAAGGTTTTAATAAGAAAGTATGGGGGCGGAAATGTAGCTCAGTGGTTCCGCTGCCTGCCTTGCAAGCGCAATGACCCGAGTTCAATCCCCGTACCAAAAAAAAACAAGTATGGATTTTCTCTATAATTTTATAGATCTCTCCCCACCATCTTCTTCCTTAAAAGGCAGGCAGCAGAACCACTTAGCTAAATCCCTGGCCCTATCCCAGGTAATTCTTATGCGGGGTCTTAGAGGTGTGAGTTAGCAGGTAGGCTAGCTGGAACACATGTATACCAAGGAAGTCTCAGTATATTTCACTCCTAGAGATGCCTTTCTTTTCTCCCATGACACTTCCCTGCACAACTAAAGTCCCTAGGTCCCTGCATGTAAATGCGCATTCTGATTATAGGAGCCCTGGCTCTGGCAGGTGAGAGGGAAGGAGAGAGTGCAACTGGCTTACTTTCTGGGGGACACAGTGAGGCAGTGAGATGAGGCTTCTTGTCATTGATCGGAAGTTATTTAAGTAACTACCCAGTTCTCACTGTGGCCTATTTCCCCCTCAGCTGAAATCTATCCTTTCTTATTTACATAACTGTTTGTAGCTTTACCATAAGGCAAACCATGCATGTGGCTTATCTCAAAGTGGGAGCTGGCAAGGTCACTTGAGCCAAATTTTTTTCTGCCAGCACTAACTGATCTTCAGGGTAACCAGACTCCTTCTGAGAAAACCCTCTTTTTCAATCGCCTTATTCCTCACTTATATGGGTGCATGTTTTTTCAGGCTTTTTATGATTTGCCATTGTCTTAATCAATTCTCTCATTGCTGAGACACAGTATCTAACACCCACAACTTAAAGGAGAGGTTTATTTTGGCTCAAAGTTTCAGTGGGCTCATTCCACGGTCAGCCAGCTCCAAGACAGAAACAACATGGCAGAGAGTCACAGCAGACAAAATGTTGCTCACATCTCAGCAGTCAGGAAGCAGAGAGAAGGGAGGAGCCCTGGAGGGAGATGTCACCTTCCAGGAAAAGCCCCCAGTGACCCACCTCCAACCAGGCCCCACCTCCTAACAGCAAATCAACTATGAACTCATCAGTGGATTAATCTACTATAGCACCCTCATGACCCAACCATCTTCCAAAAGCCCACCTCTGAACACATGAGGCTTTGAGGGGCTACTCTAGATCTGAACTATAATAGCCATCAAATCAATCCATGTCCTTTAATACAAAACAGAAACATTTCACCTTATGGTGAGTCGGTATCATTTTTTACTCCCTCTTGGTACTATGAATAAAATTTCATTCTTATATTTCTTCTATCATTTAATTTGCTTTGAGATGAAAGAGGCAAAGACAAACTGCACAGACTTGGAGGAAATGCCAATGGTTGTTGGATTAAAACTGTGCTAGCCCTAAGAGAAACGTGTTAGTTCACCGGCTCGCTGACAAGTGACGTTCTTAGTTCAGAAGAATGGAGTGAGCAGCACTGAGCACCTGAGCAGTATGGCTCCCCAAGGACCAAGTGTCCCCTCTTCAAGGAGTGGGGTCCCAGCAATGGCAGCTCAACAGAAATGAGAGATGAAAACCAAGACTTTCCTTTCAAACCAAGCATCTGCCACATACAGAAGATCTCTGAAGTACTTGAGGGGACAAGGACACGTCGTGTCTAGGGTAATTGCGTACCGCTCTGTTTTCACAATGCCTCAAAAACAACATGCTCGGTTTCACTTTCTCACTTTGACGGGTGCCCTCTGCCAGAAATGCTCTCCTCCCAATACTGCCCAGCAGCACGGCATCCATTCTTGAGGAATGAAATTCAGTGCTACCATAAAACCTTCCCACAATGTCCCAGCCAGGTGCACCTATCTTCCTCTCTTTAGTATCCTGAAATGGATATTTACTGTCAGACAATTATGGTCTCCTTTATGTTATACACTGCGCTGGGCATTAGGAAAACCATGAGAGGAGAGTACACTAGATCGCTGCCCACCAAGTATATTTCCATACACAGAAAAGACTGAAAACAAGAATAACAACTGAGTACAAGAACCACATCTAATGCATCACTCAATCTCCAAAATATTATGCAACTCTGGAGAGAAAAGATGAAATTCCTTATATTTGTAAGCAAGCAGTCTGGTACTCAGCCTCTCCATACCCTAGTTGAGCTGCCCAAGAACTGAATAGACCAATATACTGAAGCACACCAATTAGAAAACTGTATTATAGATAAAGGTTTCTGAAACCTTACCATGCATAAGAATTATTGGGAGAACTTTTTAAAATACAGATTGCCAGGTGCCACCCCAGAAATATGATTCAGTAGGACTAGGAAAGGGCCAGAGTATCTGTACATGGTGCTGTGGCAAAGAAGGGATGTGGTCACTCACGCTACTCCCTTTTCCTCCTGGTTATACAGACGATGTATGTTTTCCATCCCTTTGCCATTGGATTAATGCCAGATATCTTGATGTTATACATGGGATGTGAGCGATGATAATTTATAGCATTTCCAGAAACGGTCCATGAAAATCCCCCAATCCACCTGTGACTTTCCTCGAGCTAGCTGAGAGGGCTTGTGCTAGAAAGGATGGTAACAGAAGACAGAAGCAGCCCTGATTCCTGAACGAGAGCACGAAACAGCTCTTTTTAACATACACACCGCCGCGCTACTGCCAAGCCACAAGGGACTGTGATGTGTGCAAGAAATAACCCTTCGTTCTCATTACTTCCCTGACTTGCTTAGTATACTTGCTAGCATGTACATACTGATGTGGGTAGGAATTCAGTAACTGCTGGGAAAGTTCAGTGAAGGGATAATTCTGTAAGACAGCAGTTTGGCAGGTCAGCTAAAAACCTGTGAAAACAAAGTCCACATTATCTTTTCTCAACACATATTCTTCCCAGGAATAACTTGTTTCCTGAGATTGTCCCTAATGGCAACTGTTGGCTTTTATTTCAGGAGTTTAAGTAGTATTATGGATGATAACAAATACAGAAAATGTCTAATTAAGGACTCTTCCCACACCTAACCATGAGAATTCAGCCATTTCTTGTCATCTACATACGTACACACATGGGTCAGTTAGTTTCTTTATTCATTCTTCTTTTAAGTGATGTATTTATAGATCACCTACTATCTGCCAGGCTCTGTGTGAATTAACAAGAATAAATAATAGATGTTCCCTGTCTTTCTGATTTCCAGTAAGGAGAGATTAAACGGCTGTCTAACCACAATGACAAGGAGGATAGAGGATAGAGGAAGTGCCTCCAGGCACTAGGCTGAGCTTGTAGAGGTGGGATCTGTCCTGCGACCAGAAGACTGGTGGACATGAGCAAACCACTGGTCTATGTGAGTCCCAGCTTCCACTCAGTGCGTGGCCCATTGAGAGTAACCTCAGCAGTGCTGACAGCATGCGAGCTGGGCTGGAACAGAAATCACACACCAGTCACGGCACCTTTGGCTGATGTGCCTGGACATGGATTCAGCACAGTGCCCAACACAGAGCTCCAGCCCATCACTAATCCATGAAATCTATAGTTATCCTGCACGAGGCTTTCTCTAAGGTTCCCCCAAATTGCTCTATACCAAAAATCAGAAAGCAGAAGAAGGTCCCAAAGGAATCTGCTCCCTGAGCTCACAGAGGGGTAAAACTGAAGACCTGATGGAGAATCCAAGCCAGCCAGGACATTGTTTGGAGTGCACAGTTGGGCTCCTGTGTCTGTTCAGAGCACGCAGACTTGAGAGCCAGAATGCCTCTGTTTGAACCCCAGTTCCACTTAACACTGGTCAGATCTTGGGATCTGCTTCTAAGCCTCTTTCCTCAACAGGAATTTTAGAAAGATTAAATCTTTTCTTTTCTTTTTTTTTGGTACTGGGGATGGAACTCGGGTCTTTGCACTTGTGAGGCAGGTGGCAACACCACTGAGCTAAATCCCTGGCCCTAGGAAGATTAAGTCTTTATGGAGATTAAGTGGGCTAATATTCACGAAGCCTTTGAGGACAGCAACTAGTGTGTACAGCAACCATTATATAAACGAGTTCTCTACTGGACATGCTGTTACTTCTTCGCCCCAGAGTGCAGTGAAGCAGATAGAGATTAGGATGGAACTGCAGGCTCTGCTTCAGAGGTTAAGTGAGGATTTCCTCACCCTAATCACTAAGACCTGATTCGAGGGGTCCAGACCTCAGCTCAGCACCCTAAATGGGCTCTGGTCTCCAGAAGAGCAGATCCTGAATCACCAGGCTCCACGGAGCCTTGTTCTGAGGTCTGGAACAGCAATCAGGCACGGAACACATCCCAGGCTTGAGATCCTTGGCTAAACCCAAGACAGTGGCCCAGCCCCCGTGAATAAGGCCTCTGCCTAAGGAAAGGCTCACACCCTACGAGTCCTTCCTGCTAGAGATGGGAGGCAACTTCCTCCCTTCAATCTTGGCTCTCCCTGCTTCCTTCCCACCACCCTCTGTAAGTGTGCAGGATATGAAATTGCTGAGGCATCTGCTGCTCTTCTACTTCCTTTCAAAATCTTAGTTCTCTTATTATCTTGCCTCAGTGATCATTTCTCAATGCCTCCTCACCCCAGGAGCCTCAGAAGCCCCCAGCAGGCCAGCTCTCCTCCTGCAGCACCTCCAGAGGATGAAGGTCTCCGTGGCCACCATCTCCTCTCTCCTCTTCCTCATCACCGTCACTCTAGGGGCCAAGACTGAGTCCTCCTCACGTGAGTGCAACACCTTGTCTTCCTTTCCTCCTAGTCCCTACAGGGAAAGAAGCGGGAGTAAGGTGGCTGGGGGGATGAGAGGAGCTCTAAAAGGAGTCCTGCATCCTTAAACTGGCTTCATCCTCATCTGTTCCCCCTCAAGGCCATGTAGTGAGGCCGCCCTGCCTGTCCAGACCCTCAATTCCTTCCTCTGCCATCAGGCATAACCGTGACCCATTCATTAGGGGATATTACCCCCAGGGATATGAGGAGCTCCCCAAAGCCATCTTCTCTCCCCGCCTCCTGAGCTTTCAGCCCAGCTGCTCCCATTATCAGCTAGCCCTGTTCTGGCCCTCCAGCCTCCACTACATCCATAATACCAGATTCAGGGGACATCACTGTCACCCCCTAGTGTCCCCTGTAAGAGTCAGGACATTTCACAGCCAGAAAATAAACTGAAAAAATCAGAAAATAGCTTGGTGTAGGCAGGAGAGACACAACAGTGTGGGATGATCCAGTGCCTGGATCAACTTTGGGTCCTCTTACTTTATTTTATTTTCTTAGGATAAGCTGCATTTTATAGACAGCCACCCTTTCATTTTCTGTCATTTCCTTTTCAGCAACTCAAGGAAATATATATTGTAGTTGAAGTAAAGCTAGTCTAAAATTGGTGGGAATCTGGACAGCCTGATTTGCCTCTCTGAAAGGTCATTCGTCAGCAGAGAGGGCTGAGTGAGAGCCAGATCCCTGAGTGGGCTTGGGACCAGGGGATCCCATCGTCCATTTGTTGGCTAGTGAGAATACAACCAGATTTGGTGCTGGGTATCAGGGATCAGATCTTTTTCTTTCCACTCAAGCATCTTCTCACCCTCAGTGACCTGTGAGGCCAACACAATGCACTCACATTTCTGTCCGCATAACATACGGGCAGATCTGATTTTTCCCCTGTATAAGCACAGCACATACTTGTTTGTAAAGAGTCACTGGCCTGCCACACCCACCCCATTACATCTGTAATACCAGATTCGGGTGACAGCACTGTCACTCCCTGTATCTCCTGTAAGAGCTATGACATTTCAGTCAGAAAATAGCTGAAAATCACCTAGTCCATGAAGTTTTTCTTCAAGAAAAATCTCCCACACAAGCCAGTATGTAAAACAGGGAAAAGGACTGAAGAGGCTACAATTTTCATGACACTACTCTCAGGGGCACTTCCAAGACAGTCCCCAAACCCCCAAGAACTCAGGAAGCTCAGTATGAGAACCACAGACCAGAATGCATCAGGCATAACAAGGCCTCCTTGCTCTTACTCCGACCCTTTCTGTCAAGGTAAGGCCATGACACCTGCCTGGGTCTCTCCCTCAGGGCCTCCACGGGCTGCCATTCCCTATCCCCTACAGCAAGCCGGGTAGCATTGCACTGGCCTGGGGAATGCCAGTCCGGGTGCTCCCCAGTGGGACGGCAGCAAAGAATAACAGGAAGGGCAGATACAGACACTTCCCCCCAGGCCTCACTTACAATGGAAGAAACTGACAGGGGATGTGAAATGGTTCCAGTGAAAAGAAAGCAAAAATGAGGTTGGGTTAGAGTTTGGGAATCCAACTCCATGGCCATTGCCCTCAAAGCTTAGTGTCAACATTTTCCCTTTCTGCAGGGCATGGGTTTGGTATAAACAGGATGAGAGACTAAGAGGATCTGGGTCTGATTCCCAAATGATATGCTCTCGCTGTGCACATTTCTTCCCCAAACAGCAGACTAGATACGCACTCAATTCGTTCCTGAGGGCTGGTTGTAACTCAGGCTGGTCAGTTGCCTTCAAAGTCTCTCTCCTGTATAATTTTAGGCCACACTTCATTCCAGGCAGATCTCAGTGTCCTTTGAGAGACACTGGCCCAGGATTTCTCAATTAACCCCACATGGGAAAGGATGCCGTAATGTTCCTTGAGAACTCTTTAAGAGTTAAATCTGTATTGAGACCATCTGGAAGCACAAGCGGCCGGCATTTGGGTCAAAGCCCAAGACTTTGACCATGAGTTAAAACTAAAAGTCAGGTTGTAACCCAGATTGTTCATATGTCAGGTTGGTCGTAACTCGGGGGTCCACTGTACTCCAAAGAGGAGCATTTTTCCTGAGTAAGGCGTGCAGGCTGTATGACCTTAGTCAAGTCACGAGGCCTGTGAGTCTGCTCCCAAAGGAAAGTCATCCTCACTAAGCAGCCCTAGGTGTGTTGCTTTTCAAGCCTAGAGTAGAAAGTTAACAGCCTGTCTTTTCACAAGGGGCTGGGGAAGGAATAGGGAAGCTGTTGGAGGAGGGAAAGAAGAGCCAGAAGAATTCTGTGGAGAGGGAAAAGAAGACTGAGTGCCTCTAAAGCCATCTCTCTAACTTCTGCGAGGCTGTCTCCTGCCTCTTTCTTCACAGTACTCCTGGATTGCAGAAGAATCTGGCATCACGGCCTTTAATGAGGGGCCCCTCGGTGACTCCCCACACTTTCTCCTTAGGAGGGCCTTTCCACCCGGCAGAGTGCTGCTTCTCCTACATTACCCACACCGTCCCACATCATCGAATCGCGGATTACTATGAGACCAGCGGCGAGTGTCCCAAGCCTGGAGTTGTGTAGGTGGCACCACACACCACACTGGGGGACAGGGATGAGCTGGGCCTGGGGAGAGGAGGCGGGGAAGACATGGTTGTATCGATGGAGAGGCAGCCGAGTGGCAATCTAGGGCCTCTCTGGCAGAAGCCTGCAGAGAATCATCTAGAAGCTGGCCCCGTGGGTTAGGGAGGCGTCAGGAGAAGGGAGGGAAAGACATGAGGACCCTTCCTAGCGGGAGACACAGACTCAGAGCCCTGTGGGGAGAAGAGCATGACTCTGAGAAGAACCTGGCCCTGAGCTTCCTTTGACAAAGGCACTGAGAAGGTCTAGGTCAGTGGACGATGTGGGAAGGCAGGAGAGAAGTCAGGCTTTCTTCTGGGCTGCTGGGCCCCTCACTCTCTGATCCTTTGCCCTCTTGTTCCACAGCTTCATCACCAAAAGGGGCCAATCCATCTGTGCCAACCCCAAAACTGAGTGGGTCCAGGACTACCTGAAGGACCTGGAGGAGAACTGAGTGATCCAGAAGTGCTGCCGAAGGGCACAGCTCGGTGATCTAAAGAGAAGAAGCCAAGCCCCCTCCACCTGCCCCTCTGCCCAGCCACCTCCCACACACACAAACTGCCCTATCCTGAATTAAAGACAATCCATGCCCTTCCCTGCCTTCATTCATTTCCGCCGAGTTTACCGACTAGCAGTAGGCAGGGACACCCATGAGCCCAGCCTGGATGTGGCATCCCCGGCGTCAAGCCTCACTGTGCAGAAGTTCTACCGGATCCTGGTGGGGAAAAAAGGTCAGGCCTGTGACAGGGAGTGCGGGAAGCTAAGCAGAGTGTGAGGAAGACGTTTAACGTAAAAGCCACCTCCCCACCAACGGCGACACCGCGTATCACTCTGTCAGTGCCCTCCACGTGCCAAGCACTCTGCTAAGCAGTCTGTTTGCATCACCTTACTTAAGCTTCACCACAAGTATGAAGCTAGAATTCACCAACTGATTTCAGAGATAAATCTTTGTGAAGGCCTCTCCTCAGCAGTCAGATTCCAGACACACAGGCACGCGTGTGAGCGCATTGCTCCCAAGGCCTTTCCTCACTGCTATCTGGGCTAGGAATGTTTCATGCACATATTTATCTAGCCTTCTCCCCTGACTTACACCAGTTTGTACTATGTCGCTTTATCTGTATCAGGCCTCGCAGAATGCCTGACAGGTACCCAGTGCAAAAGGAAGAAGGAAAGGAAAAAAGGAGACAGGGAGAAATCGAGAAGCTGTCTGTGCTCCAGGAACAGGCTCTCAAACTTATCTCCAGGGCTCAAGGAGAAGCTGGTTTACTTGGGAGTGAGAGTAACCGCCATTCCAGGAACCGTGACCACTCTTCCCTGGCCTGCAGCCTTTCCCAGGCAAGGGTTTGGGGCCATGGCAAGGCTGAGAGGGGTTCTGCATCCCAAAGGCACAACAGGGCATCCTCAGATCTCCTCACTTCTAATGCAGGGAGTTCAAGGGGCTACTCCACATACACACCCTGGCTGGCCTAACAGAATACCACAGCTTCACTATCACTAACTGCCTTGAACTCTCCAGGAAAACTGTGTCGTGTTTTGGCTGTCTGTGAGCAGTCATGGCAAGCAGCAGGTTTCCCAAGTTTCCACACATTCCCTGTTCTGCCCCCACCTTCCTATTTTCTCAACTCCTTCCCGTTCTCTCAACTTCCCCTGTGCCTCTAAAGCTCACAGTCTATTCACAGAAAACTCCCCTACATTTTCTCTGACTGCTCTTCCTGCTGCCTCCACCCTAGAAACAGGTCCTGAGGGAAATCCAAAGACAGAAGATGCTGTGGGATGGATCCAAGCAGAGACTGGTCCAGACCGGCAGAAGAACTCTGGACAACATACATGCTTCGGCTATCAGGTCCATGGTTGGAGCGTCCTCTGCTGGTCAATATTGATCACAGCCCCAGGGGTAGCTGACACAGCCCTATGGGTGACGTCCAGGAACGATCAGCCAGCTGCACCTAAAAATCAGCCCAGAGTCAGAGGTCCAAAGAGATAAATAAGAATATTGACAAACCAAGCGCCTCAGTAACAAACAGGGACCCAGGGATCAGGTGCACTGTTTTATTGAAACATTAGCAGCATGATCTGTGATATTAAAAAATGGGTTCAATCATTTGTCCCTGCACTGAGAATGGGGAACGTTGTTTTCAGAGGCCACCAGATCCTGCCCATGCCTCAGTCTGTGCTCTCTCTAATCCTGTTTTAGGTGCACCTGCTCCAAGCCCAACCACCAGAAGGGAATGGAGGCACTCAATCCTTCCCTCCTTCCCCAGCACCAAGACAGTAGGAGGTAAAGTGGTGAAAGCACATGACTGTGGTTCACGGTACTGTGTCTCATCTTCCTGCCCGTGGGACCTCGGGCAGTTTACCTACCCTCTCTAAGGGTCAGTGGCCAGGGGCGTAACGATCACCACTTCGCTATGGCGAGGATTAGTAAGGTAGGGCACACACACCCTTGCTTCAGTCCTTCTCCAGCCACTCCCCTCACGTGAATTCAAATCCTGCCAAACTCACCCTCCCTTTCAGCCAATACAGAGCCCCAGTCTTTCTCCTCCTCCGCCCTGTACTCTGAAGTGGTCAGAGTCCAGAGAGCTGAGCCATCACAGAGTGGATGACCAGCAGCAAGGTAGACACCTCCGCTCAGCTCACAACTGAAGCTGTTCTACCCCACCGAGAGGATGAAGGTCCCTGTGACTGCCCTCTTTCTCTGCCTCCTCGTCCTCACCATGACTTCTGCGTTTTATAATGAGCCAAGTGAGTCCATTTGTTTCTGGAAGACAGGGATGAGGAAGGGGAGTGGGCAACTGGCGGAGAGGCGATGCCAAGTGTGCTGTCAGGTGTCTGGCTGCAGGAGCTGCAGAGCCTCTCCCCACTGTCACACCCAGCGGCTGTCTTCTGTTGCTTTCCTTTGCAGGCAGATCTGGGCTTGGTCTAGAACTTCCCGGGGGTGGGCAGTTCCAGGAAGTGAAAGCAAGGTATAGTCCTGGGGGTCCTAAGGGAATGATCATTTAGTAGGAGGAGTAGCAAAAGTAGCAGAGAATTCAGCAGCGAGTTCTGTGAGGAAGAGGAGGGGGAGGCAAGTGGAAGCGATTGCTTGGAACAGAGCTGAGGAGTGGGGAGTCTGAGTTTAGACATCCCTTCTTCACAGTAGCTCATATGGACTGTGGGACTCTCTACAACCAAAACGAGTCCCAGTCGGAAGGCTAAGTGCATTTTGGGGAGATCTGTGGCTCCCCTCTCCATACCTCACCTAAGACCAAATAAAGTCTGCACAAAAGAGAAAGGGGATTTTGGAGCTATGGAGAGCAGGGAAATTGGGACCTATGGAGAATATAGTTTGCCTCTACCATTATTTATGAATATTTGGTGACAGAAAAGACACAAGGATACTCAGCCTTCCTAAGTACCCGCCTTGGGCTGCCCCTGCCCTTTTTGTCTCTCTTTAGGCTACCCTTAGCACGCAGCCTGGCCCGGCTCCACGATACAAACTCACAGGAGAGCAAGGGTCAAGTCCACCATGCAACCTATCTGTACATTCTCACAGTGACCTTGGTCTTTGTAAACACTGCTCAAGAGCCAGGGATACGAACATCAGTTCCAGAGGGACTGTACCCAAAGTCACTTACAGAGGTGGTGCGAGGGAAGGACAGAAATGCCCTTTGGACAGGGCAGTCAGGCCAGTGTAGTGGGTTCAGACTGCAAGGAAGAGAAAATGGACCACCCAAAGCATGAATCAGCCAGCTGGGCCTCTGGAGATGGCCCAGACGTTGTCATCAGCTGGAGGCACAGGGTCCAGATACAAAAGGATCAGCATTCTGTATCTTTAGGAGATGGTGAGGCCTGACCTCCTGTGTATTAGCTCCAAACGATGAGGGGAGCTCCAGAGGGACAATCTAGCCCAGCATCCTGCCAGTGCCACAGAGAAGGAAAAGAGCCACTTCCAAGGCAAGGATAGTGGTCATTGTCCCATTTGCTCCCAATTATAATAAGCCCTGGTCGAGCCTTTCTATGTGCCAGGCTCTGAGTTAAGAGTCCTCTCAACTGTTCTCACTATGCTCCCACCGTAGGACATGAGTATCCTTTTACTCTCATTTAACAAATGCGGAAACTGGGGCAAGAATCTTACCCAAGCTGACTCCACAGCCTACAAGATCCACTTTTTCCTCCCGCTCTAACTCCTCTCACTCAGCTTTACCTTCTCACCCTCCTCCCCCACCTCAGTTCAGAGGCTGAACGTCCCCCATATGGGTCCCCAAGAGGAGTTCATCTTTGTCCCTTTCCCTGTTACCCATCGAGCTCTCATCAGTCCCCGCTAACAGGAGCTTTACTATCAGAGGTAGGAGACGGAGGCGGGCAGGCCTGCTCTCTCCCTCTGCCTCCCCAGCTCAACCTACCACGTGATTCTCTCAGAGATTCCTGAGTCGGTGAACTCCTCCCCCACCTGCTGCCTGAAGCATCAAGAGAAACCACTGCCAAGGAAACTGGTGGTGGGTTACAGAAAGGCCCTCTACTGTGCCCTGCCAGCAATCATGTAAGCACTTCCCTGCAGGTATTTGTGTGTGATCAGGAGAGAAATTTGGAGGCAGGGATGGCATGCACAGGCCCAAGAGGCCACCATTCTAGAAGCAGTGGAGTCGTGGCCTGGTTTAATTCCTGATTTTGCCACTTATGCCTGTGTGCCCCAATAAATGGGGGTCATTCTGCAACCCAAGCGTGAGGGTCTAGGCTGACTGGGGAAGGGCCTGAGGGAAGAGATGGAGAGGTCTAAAGCCCAGAGAGGTGTGAGGGGACACCGACCGGGGACCCACAGGAGACTACAAAGTACATGAGCCATGCAAGCTGGGGGAGGCTGTGACGTGGGCCCGGTCCGATCCACAGCCGTGACCACCTGACTGTGCCTCCACAGCTTTGTTACCAAGAAGAACCGCGAAGTCTGTGCCAACCCTGAAGACAAATGGGCCCAAGATTATATCAACGATCCCACCATACCTCTGCTGCCTGACAAGAACTTGGCTTCAGTGACCAGAACAAAGAACGGCCGGGTCCAGCTGACCAACTCCCCGTGATGATCAGGCCTCAGGGGAAGCCCAGGTTTGGGGGAGGAAGGGATAGGCCTATGAAAACATGAGCGGGCATGGCCAGAGAAATAGGCCAATGATCAAAATAAAGGAGGAACAATTTGAGTGTTGTCTCGATCCTGGGAGGAAATGTCAAAGCGAAGGAATGTAGGAAGAAATGCTTGCTCGATACAAACATCTTTTCTTTTTTTTTTTTTTTTTTTTGGTACCGGGAATTGAACTCGGGTCCTTGCACTTGCAAAGCAGGTGGTGGAACCACCGAGCTAAATCCTCAAGCCTGATACACCAGCTACTCTACATATAGTCAGTATCCCACTCCCCAACAGCCAGCCCGTCGGTGTCCTCTAGGTGTTGAACCATTAAGAATCCCATAGAACTCTTGGTTTTTTTGTCCATCTTATCCTTTTCCTAGATGTTTTTTTTTTTTTCTCACTATCTTTTCTTTAAAACCACAACTTTTAGCTGGGTGTGGTGGAATATACCTGTAATCCCAGAACTATGGGAGACTGACACAAGAGGGTCATAAGTTCGATCCCAACTGAAGCAATTTAACAAGATCCTGTCTCAAAAAATTTAAAAAGGCACCGGGCTTGGTGGCACATGCCTATAATCCCAGCGCTCGAAGGATCTTTTTTCTCTCATTAAGTTTATTTGTACTTTTTAGGTATACAGTACAGTTACATTCATCATTGGGATCTGTACCTTTACATGACAGGTCTTGGTTCTTATTTTTTCCCCATACCCCTGCCCTCCCTTCAGCCCCTCCACCCTTCCCTATTTACAAAAACTGTTTCCATTTTTTCCTTTCTCATATTTTTTTCTTTTCCCTTATTTCCTTTCCCCTACCTACCCTTCCCACTACCTCTGCTCCTTTAGCCCTTTTCTTCTATCACAATATCAATTTTACAATTTGAACCTTACTTACACTTTTAGTTTTTCACACCAGAGAAACTATTCAGTATTTACACATGTATGTCCTATTTATTTCTCTTAAGAGTATGGCCTCAATATGCATCCATTTACCTATAAATGACTCTAGTTTCTCATTTTGTACTCCATTTTATAGAAAAACCACATCTTCTTTATCCAGTCTCCAGTTAATGGGCAATTGGGCCTTTTCCAAGTTTTAACAATTGCAAACTGTGCTGTTGTAAACATAGGTGTGAATATATCACTGTGATATGATTCTTTGAATTCTTTTGGAAAGATACCCAGCAGAGGAATCGCTGGATAAAATGGGAACTCTAATTCTAGTTTTTTTAGGTATCTATTTGATTTCCACAGTGGTTGCACCAGTCTGCACTCCCACCTACCCTTTCTCATATTTCCTAACAATGAAGAAGGGTTCTTTTCTCCCCACAGCCCCACCAGCATTTGTTATTGGTTGATTTCTTGATAGCAGCCATTTTTTTCGGAGGTGAGGTAGAATCTCAGTGTTGTGTTCATCTGCATCTCTCAAATGACCAGTGATGCTGAACATTTTTTCATGTATTTATTTACCGCTTTAATACTTGTTTGTATGAGAAATGTCTGTTCATTTCAGATACCCATCTTTGAATCAGGTGTTTATATTTGGGGGATCTGATTTTTTTCCATTAATTTTTTTTTAATCTCATTTTTTTGAGTTCTGTAGATATTCTAAATAGTAGACCTTTGTCTGAGGAACAGCTGGTAAAATTTTTTTCTCCACATTGTAGGTTGTCTCTTGCTCTGCTGGTGGTTTCTCTTGCAGTGCGGAAGCTTTGTAATAAGATAAGATCCCAGTTGCTGATTCTTTGTGCTAGTTCCCATGCTACTGAGGATTTGTTCATAAAGTCTTTCCGTAATGCCAATGTCTTGGAGAGTTCTACCTTCCAGCAAGTTTAGTGTGTCTGTTTTAATATTTAGATCTTTAATCCACTGTGATTTTGTTTTAGTGCTAACCTAGTGGTTAACAGCTGACTGGCCATTAGGAGGTGGAGGCCAAGTCGCTGAGGACGTGACCTGGAAGGGTGCATCTCCCTTCCTGTCTCCTCACTTCTTTCTCTGCCCCCTGGCTGTCACGACGTAGGCAGCTTTCCTCGAGCCAGGCCCTCCCACCTTGCTGTCCCTGTGTTTAAACCTGCCAAACCTCCCCTCCTTTAAACTGTGGGTGTCCGGTATTGTGTCTCAGGAACAAGAGCGTAACTAAGGTTACTTTCAGGAGAGGATTTTGCAAAGGCACATGAATGTAGAGCAGGCCTGCATGTCAGTGTGCAAGGTATTTGATCTCCCTTAACTTCAGTTTTCTTTGCTATAAGTGGAGACTGAGACACGATTGCAGGTCATTAGGAGAATTACATCAGTTAATATATGGTAAGTTAAAATATGGTGAGTCCCTAGCACCACGACTAACCTGAAAAGTGTCAGTACTTCTTGGCTCCTCTCCCAAGAAGGGATGCTTGAGCCCAGCAGGTTCTTGCTGGTAAAGGCAGGACCGACTCAGATGACAGCACTCAGCTCCCACATTGCCGAATACAACAGCGAACAAGAAGCTGGTAGAAGATGAATCGTGACACAAAGAACAGAATCAATAAGTCATTTCAGAGCACATTTATCTGCATCCTGAGCACACCCTGAGAACTCTTCTTCCCTCTTGCCCCTGTATTCTGACAAACACAGGAGTCTTCCCCTCCAGGCTCCATACCTTTCCCATCTGAACCACAGAAAACAGATGAATGAATATTTTCACTCAACTGGAACGTAACCAGCGCACCATTCTATGAGGCACCGGAGAGAAGTTAATCTATTCAATCCAATGCATGGCTTAAGCCAGTTGGACCCAGCTGAACAAAGCTTCTTTCAGGTCAGAAACCACTTCTGATTTACACTGCTCCCATCCAGGGCCCTTCGTACCTAGAAGGCCTCATTAATGTCCATTCACATAGAGGCTTGAGGGGGTGGGAGGTAGAAGTCATTGTCACGGAGGCCTTCAGCCTGCAGGTTTGGAGTGAGGGCAGGGACGTGCCGCCACAGACATGGCATTTTAAGCGGGGTCCTGGAAGAGAGTAAGGATTCAGAGTTGATGAAGAGCAGTTCTAGTCAGGCTTGATTTTAGGAAAGTTGATAAGCAGCACCACCTAGTGGTTACAATCCACAATGTCTAATCTCTGTTTTTCCTTCGCTAGCCAACTATGGTGTTTCTAAGGAAGACCATCTTATGCAAAACTCCAGCTGCTGAATGGGCCCTCCTGCTGCCCACATCTTCCCACCTTTCCCTGATTTCTTCCTCTTTGCAGATCCACACTGAGGACACAGTAGGTAAAGCTCCTGCTCTCCTAGACCTTACCTTTTAAAGGAGGAGAATGGGAGACCATACAAAAATACACACACATGCCAGGTTCTAGAAAGAAGAATGAAGCAGGGTAAGGGTGACGGCGAGGAATGCAAAAGATCACCTTGTACTGTTGGTAAGACCCGCCAAGTAATGCAACTATTCCTAAGAGTCTTATTTAAGTGCTTTTTGCACTGGTTACCCTACACTTCCGCTTCCAGAATGGAAAAATGAGTACCTAACACAGAACAAACTGATAATTCCACAAGTAAAAGCTATAAACTCCAGCAACTTGTAAAAATACAACTGAGAACTTAAAAGACTTACAAATCCGGTAGATTTAGGTGGGCATTGAAAACTGTAGTGAGCAACAGGTGCGAATGAGTTCCTATTTTGTTGTGGCTTTGGCCTGAGGGAACTGCAGTTGTTGTCTGCGGAGATGCCCACAAGGTTGTCTAAAACTAACAGGAAGTGTGTGGTGTTTCTCTACAGATGAACCAGGCTTAGGTAACAGTGCCCTACAATAAAGGAGAATACCAGAAAGAAGAAAATCTTCAAAAGGGATTTTTTTTTGGGGGGGGTACTGGGGATTGAACTCCGGACCTTGTACTTGCAAGGCAGGCAGCAGCACCACTGAGCTAAATCCCCAGCCCCAAAATTCTTTAATCCAAGTTTATGGCTGACTCCTGAACCACACTTAAAGGACTAAACTAAAGAGCCAAGCTGCCATCTACTACAGGCAGCTACAGTTTAAATCTAAATTGATAATCTCAGCCCTCAGGAGAATTACAAGTTTAAAGTCAGCGTGGGCTACATAGGGAGGTCAAGGCCAGCTTAGACTGCACAGCAATACTGTCTAAAACCAAAAAATCTAGGGCCAGGGATTTAGCACTGTGGTGCCACCACCTGCCTCACAAGCACAAGGACCTGAGTTCCATCCCAGGTGCCAAATAAATAAATAAAATAAAATAAAATATAACCAAAAATATTTAACTTAATAGTCCACTAAAAAAAAAAACAGAAAAACTCTTCAAGCCAATACAATGGGGAATAGAGTCTCCATGACATTCACAAAGCCCAAGATGTCATTCAAAATTATTCAATTAAAAAAATATGATCCAGTCTCAAAAGAAGAGACAATCAATGAATGCTAATTCTAGAATAGGCCAGATAATGGCATCATCTGTCAAGAATTTTAAAGCACCCAATATATTTAGAGAAGCAAAGCAAAATATGTTCATAGTGAGTACAAAGACAGGAGCTCTCAACAGAGAAATAGAATTGTAGATCTACAACTTCTCTTTAAATAACGTTAAAATATATCTGACAGCCAGGAGTGGTGGTGCATATCCATAATCCAAGCACTTGGGAAGCTGAGGCAGGAGGATCGCTGTGAGTTCGAGACCAGCCTGGGCTACATAGTGAGTTCAGGGCCAGTCTGAACTACATAACAAGACTTTGTCTCAAAAAACCAGTAATACGGGCCAGGGATTTAGCTCAGGGATTCTACCACCTGCCTTGCAAGCACAAGGTCCCGAGTTCGATCCCCAGTACCTAATAATAATAATAATAATAATAATAATAAATTAAATATATCTGAAATTTCAAATATTCACTAGATGAATTTAATTGAAGAGTGGTGATGTCAAAGGAAAGAGTCAATGAAGGTGAAGATACATCAAGTGAATTTATATAATCTAAGAAAAAAGGATTAGAAAATAATTACCAAAATCTCAGAGGTGAGTGAGATAATTTCACACGTTAAAACATACAGATACTTGGAGCCAAGGAAGAGAGGACATAGAAATAATGACAGGGCTGGGGATTTAGCTCAGTGGTTCTACTGCCTGCCTTGAGAGCACAAGGTCCCGAGTTCAATCTCTGGTACTAAAAAAGAGAAAGAAATAATGACAGAGAACTCCCCAAATTTAGTGAAAAGCACCAACATACAAAGTCAAAGTCTGCAAAACCCACATAGGAAACAAGTCAAAGAAATCTATGCTTAAGGGCACCAAAGTCAGACTGCCGGAAATAAAAGATTAAGAAAAAATCTTGAAAGCAGAAGAGGAAAAAAAAAAAAAATATATATATATATATAGGAAAACAACTATTGGAATGACTGAAGACTTCCCAGAAACCATGAAGGCCAACTGGACATGGTGGTACGCTCCTAGAATGACAGCCACTCCAGAGGCTGAGGCAGGAGAATTCTAGGATCAAGCCTACCTTGGGCAACTTAGCAAGACTCTGTCTTAAAATAAAATAATAAAAAGGGCTGGGGGGTGTAGCTCAGTGCTCCCTGGGTTCAAAGAAAAAAGGAAAGGAAAGAAAAAGGAAAAGAGAGGAGGCCGGGCGTGGTGGTGCACGCCTGTAATCCCAGCACTCAGGAGGCTGAGGCAGGAGGATCGCTGTGGGTTCGAGACCAGCCTGGGCTGCACAGTGAGTTCCAGGTCAGTCTCAACTACACAGTGAGAGCCTGTCTCACAAAACAAAAAAGAAAGAAAGAAAAGAGAGGAGAGGAGAAGAGAGGAGGGGAGGGGTGAGGAGGGAGGAGAGGAAGAGGAGGGGAGGAGAGGGGAAGGGAGGAAGAGCAGAACATAAAGGAACATCTTTAAAGTGCTGACAGAAAACTGATCACCATAAATGAAACAAGGTATGCCTCATCCCTCAGTCTTCCACGCTGGAGCCCGATATACGAGAATGTATACGAGGAAGCGCCTTTCCGGCTCTATCTTCTGGGCCATGCCCCCATTGAAAAGCAAAACTGAACTTCCTTATATATAACCGCTATCGATAGTACTTACTTCAACTTAGCCATTCCAGGGGGCCAAGGAGAACCTAAGTATGTTCTAAATTACCAAAAGTGGCCTGAAGACATCATTCTGTAGAGGAACATTTAGGCCCTCAGAGAGTCAAGAGGTCTACATACCCTGGAATTAAGATTCTCAGACAAAAGCTCAGGGGCGGAGGGCTTGTCAAAAATGTATGAAGCCCCGGATTCAATCCCCAGTATCGAAGGGGCAAAGAATAGTCTCAAAAAAAAAAAAAAAAAAAAAAAAGAGAAACGAAAACAAAGC